ATTTAATATTTTTTTCAAAAAACGAAGAGAACAGAGAATCTCGATTTTATTGAACTTTGAAAAAAATCATTCTCACGAAAAAGCGATATTACGATAAAATACAAAGAGCACACAAAATTTTCAATTTGCTATTTATGCTCGGTTATTTTGTTTCCTGGAATCACATCTCTACTTGCCATTCCAGTCACAAGACTCCTCTTAATTTTTTTCGCCTCAAGGGTACAAAAGGGAAGAACAGATGATACTTCGTCTCATCTGTTCTCCTCACTTAAAAATGAATGTGAGAGTAGACCTTAATACCTCTCCGGCAGATCACAGTAATACAGCGGAACAAGACGTAAGTGGAATTATACAGCAACACCAGCACCTGCTACAGACACTACAGTATCCAGAGGGCAACATGAACGAAGTGCCGTCGTCCATATTGTAGTCACCCGCAAAGACAAGTTGCTGGTCAACATACGTGTAGTAGCTACGATATGCTCCACTACGACCTCTGGTTTTATATGGTTTAGTCTCCTTCTGCTCGTCGACCACCAACGCACAGTGGGTTGCGTCGTCGAGGACCAACCCGTTCTTAGTACACAGATTATACAAGTACCCTGAACACGATGTTAAGCCACAGAAATCGGGGTTGGATATGACACCGGGTGTCTTATTGACAATGGGGGCTTTGGATATATAGAAACTTAAATTTTCTCATCAGTTCTAAATCAGCCGCATCTTGGGTCTTAACAACTTCCTCCGCGGGGTGTCTGTGCGTTGTCATTGATCAGTGATGGGCTGCCGATGATTTGCGCTGGATTCTCAGATTTAGCAAGCGTGACATTGTCGTGGACGCAAAATGCCTCTGTTTCTGGTACTTTGCGTACATATTCGGCGATCTCTTGCCGACCAAATTCGGTTTCAGTAATTGACAGACTCACCTCCCATATGTTGATGTAGCGACGCAGCATGTTAGATCTGAGAGGTCCACGAGGAACCCAGAGGAGAGACACCAACCTCCCGACAGGCAGATATTTGCCCGGAAGGAGGCGAAGAGAGGTGGAAGAACTCCGGACGAAATATTTATAATTTTATTTATTTAGATGCAGCCAGAGCCGTAAGAATGTCAGGAGGTGCAGCTCTATTATTGCACCCCCCCCTCCCGCCAACGCCGCGACCACAGCTCTGTTCTGGTTGACCGTTGGGGCTACTTCGACCTCGTGGCTGCATCCTGTTATTCTTGTCTGCTTTATTCTGAAAATTCTTTTTGTCAGTTCGACCATTAGCAGTGCTTTTGCTGAGAGCAAAGTTGTGTTACTCCTGGAGAATAGTACAGAACGTCTCGACGCATTCGCCTGTGATTCCGTGTGCGGATCTATGCCTATTCTCGACGAGCGTAGCAACATTTAGGTCTTCCTCACACGGATGTATTTGCTTTTGCAAATATGGATAGTGCCTGTGATTAACTCACAAACAACCCCTCAGAGAGCTAACAGATGTTCCTCGGGTGTAGCGCCCGGGACTGAAGTCTGATTCAGCCCCTGAGAGTTATAATGGGAAATGTGATCGTTCAGTTCACGTTTCACTGGTTCGGCTTCTTGTTCGTATCAAATCGGTATAACACAGGGACGCGTGCGGAGACATTTTGACAAAACAGTGTCGAGAACAACTCTGACATAAGAGAATCTCATAAAACCCGCGGATTTGGGTGCAACCGTCATTTGAAACCACTGGTCGAACGCATAGTTATTGTTAATAGGATGAGATGCCCTAAACTTCATCAAACTGCTAGGGTGGAAATTGTCCGGCACCAGATAACCTAAACGTGTAAAAGAAAGTAAAACCCACGTTTATACACGCAGGGCTTTGGTAGTAGGATCCTGTACCAGTTCAGCTACTTGACCTTGTTGGATCGCTAACGGATTCTGTAGAGGGATTATGTGTTAGAGACTAAGAACAAGTCGGACAAGAATATAAACCTCCACGTGTTCTACCCTCTGATGGGTAATGAAGCGGCACCACCCAAGCTAGCCATCATCTGAATCTTTATGATCCAACTTGTGGAGCGGTTGACAGAACCCCTTAGCCATTGCACCCCCGAAGTACGAGAGTTCTTGTTACAAAAAGCTGTTGTTCTCGGTAGACGATAATCCCCAGCTGAAACGATACAACAGGGAGGAAGGCAATACCGACAATCTACTTAAGGCTAAGGTCGATGTTGCGCGGACTTAAAATGGATAAAAAAGAAATGAAAATCAAGAAATTCAGAACCAAAATTATTTCATTATTTCAGAAAGAAAGAACTGTTGTCATACCTGAAATAACAACTGACAAAATACATCGGATGAGAACATATATAAATTGCCCTGGATAACTGGAAAACCAATCGACTCAAGACTATAACAAAAACCAATAGTATGTCTAGAAATTCCAAAACAATTCACCAAAAGGTCGATTTGGAATGAACTATTCTAGAAAGCCAGACGTATTTAACTTACCAAGATATATACTTTCAAGGATGAAAAGAACTATAAGGATAAAAAGAAAGGATAAACCTTAGACTTCTACATCTAAAACAGTATGCGATTGTAGACGTTTATCAAGAATAGAGAGTATACCTTTTCAAATATCTTTTATTACAAATTATGCAATACAAGGTAATTTGAGTGATTTATGTATTCAATTGTAACACAGTATATGTTTTTCATGTATCTTTTATTCAAACATATAACAATAGCACACGTTTATCAAGGGTAAATATATCTTTTATTGAATCAAATAACTTAAATTCAATATAGCAGGTCTCCTAATCGCAGACCATCATACTTGCGGCGTACGGGTGTTCCTTGACCAGGTTGATTGCATGTTTACGGATTTGTTTTTGAAGGTACTGACATCTGGTCCAATGCTCGTCGTAGCCATCCCAGGGAGTATATATATTTTATAGTATATATATAACAAGATAAATTATATATAATTATATATCAGTTGGCAATTTAGTTTTTGTTCTTTCTAATAACTAGATACAATAAATAAATATCATATTTAGACTATTATTACTTTCCCCATAAAGACGGTCCACCAGCTATCATAACAATTTCCCATGTTGTAGATTTGGTTATATCTGAGTTAGAAGAGTAGTCACTGTCAACTGAAAGATAGGCGTGAAATGTATGACCTTACTATATGTGATACCCAGTTTGCGTGTTGCTGACAAGTATCGCAAATCTCGTTTGGTGGCTTGTAAGTGGCTTTCAATCGGTGCGATTTAATAGCGTCCGAGTAGGACAGCTATGAGTGATATATCCGGCTGCGTAATATCGGTGTGCTAAGTATCGCAAGCATCCTACAATGTGTTGATAAGTTTTGACGTCAGTTAACATACAATTTCCACTTACCAAGAATTATCGAGTTACTAGGATGAATGGAAGGTGCCACGGTTTTCTCCACCTATATTTAAAAGCAACAAATAAAAATATACAAACTACATTGTAAGTATTTCAAGCTTAGCTGGGATGTACAACAGCGAAATTTGAGAAAGATCATGTGATATCATGGTTACAAAAGATGAGCAGAATCAGAGATGTCGTCTTTCCTTGTTTTATAGAGATAAAGGACATCGCTCTGAAAAAAAGATAGAAGCGATGGAAAGAAAGATTTCAAAGTCAGGCATACAGCCAACACCATAGCCTGCAATTTCGATACGACTGTGCTTACAGCTAAGAATATTGGACCGTTCATGATTCCAGTGACCGATAAAGGAGTGGGACCTATTAGGTTAATAACGTTTATGGCTCGCAATCGATTTAATGAAAGAGAAGGACGACTCATCAGATGTCATCACAATTTAGTAAGTGAGAGACCAAAACCATATATACGGGTATTTTCACAATCAGCCGTTGTTAGGGAGAAAATCTTGTCCCACACAGAAACATGATTAATGAATACAGCAGGGGCGCCGTTCACAACGGCACTTCTGGCTGAGTTCACTTATCCAGACTTAACACTATACTAAGCGCCACTCGGGTTTGACGACATTTTTAAGTGACCGAACTACTTTTCAATAACCTTTTCACCCGTGGGATATATGAGTGTTATATTCGATGTATATCTTAGTTGTTGTATGCTTGAATGTGCATAGTGATAGAAGTTACGCCTCAGGCCATGTTTGGATTGTATATCGATGTCATGTGTATACACTAACCAAGCTACTAGCGTACAGAATGTCGCCCTGGAATAGCGCCGCTCACCTCTCCCAAGTAAATGGATTTCCGATGAAACTTTCAAGTTGGGACGTACCTCGCAGACTCATCCACACCGCAAGATATATTTTCGATGGTATCCGCACATACATTTCCTGGCCGGCAAGGTCTGACAAGCACCTGGTGAAAAATAGACAACCGGTTACCAATTAAATTTTGTAGTTTGTAGTCGCTGCAGGTCAGCTCCGTGCATGTGTGTTACAAAATCGTACAAAAAAAATGCTTACCCACCAACTATCAACGTGTTTTAGCAGTTTTCAGAATTCTCGTTCCACGTCTGGCGACCAAAGTTTCTTACCCTCTAGTCCATCTCTTTGTTCAAAATCTGGATGGGTAACGTGTAGCCAACATTTTCGTAATCGCATTAAGCTGGTGCGCAATTCAGTTGGTCCACTTATGTACCTACGTATATGTGCAGCAAATCCTCTAGCTGTAACATGTGTAATAATTCATGTCCTATGCTCCTCTCCCTTCACGAGCTTCCTGTTTTTGTATGCCCACTTATATTTGATATGCCCTACTTCTATTGCAGTTGTCATCAGTGTCACATCCTCTTTCATAGGGACAATGATGGCTAGACTCAGATCTCTGCTAAATCTAGCCTTGCCACCGTGCCCCATTGATATGCAGTTTGTGATTCTTTTCCTTGCATGAAATAAATCTAATTCGTTTGGATTGAGAGTGCGCTGTATGTGGTGCATTCTATCTTCAATACGCTTCACGGCACACTCATCCTGGGAGAACAATACAGGGTCAAACACTCTTTTTGAATTCGAGTGATGTCTGTGATTCCAAACTACTGTCGGTTCCATACTTCATCATGTAATTGTATATGAATGCTCCCATGGGTCCAACATCACAGGAGCTATTCTCATCGATTGTGGGTTTCTCGCAATTCCATATCGATCCCACATGTTTGTTTGACACATGTTCGGCCGTAGTATTTGAGTGATTTGCCTCTAAGGCCAGTGCTAATGCAAGCCGTTGTATCCCGGGATTCAACTCTACAGGCAAATTGAGGGGGTGTGGTGTAAATGGGGAGCTCATATTGTCTACTTGAGTTCGGATAAATGTACTGGATGAGATCGTGTCCTCCTCTGTAGTGCTGGTAGTGTAAATGCCGTTGTTGAGATGATGATGACTGTATTAGAGGTTATTAGCTCAAGTTAACAGCCAACCCATGAATGTATCGGGAGCTTCATAGACAGCCACTGGTAGTAGTGACAATATGACCAAACGTTGAGGTACTCAGAGTTCATGAGGCTATTTAGTGCAACGTGAGTATGCTCAAGGGCTTTTAGATAGATACTCACGTCATACTTGTCGGTATTGTTATTTGGATTTGATGTTGAGTTCCGAAATTCTCATACATATATGAAGCCTGATGCGTATTTAGACACGTAATAAATTACCCCACATAGAAATAAATAATATATTCCCTATGATCGAGATTATTTGAAATATCGAAAGAGTTGTTTCCGTTCACAAATATCATAATTGTGGGAGAATTATTTACGAAGGCCTCTAGAAGAATAAAAAACCCTAAATGCGGTCTCATATCGGTCATGCAAGGTACAACTTCGTATTTTGCCATCAGCAATCGCTCATACGGATACCCTAACATATTACTCTGATTTGAGAACAAATTTATATATATTTCCGTGTAGTTTTAGAATTCACTATTGTTTTGAAACAGTCTCTTGTAGGTCGGATTGTCTCTCCACACGCAATGATCATCTCCATAGCATTCTAAATCATATGTACAAGGGAGATATATGCCTGGTAAATATTTTAAATATGACTTCTGACTGCGAATATCGGGTGGTGCATAGAGTTTCAATGATAGAGAGAATTAGAAAGAAAAAAAACATTTGACAATTTCTGTGAACGGAATGAACACTCATCAAGTGGTACCGTGACGAGAAATTAAGTTCAATCACACGCTCATGTAGATCAATATGTCTATGTGATTACAGGTAGTTATTGACCACGGTACAGAAGTGTAGTTATTCGGCACCCCCTTTTCGATACCAAATGCGGGGAGTATATAGCTCCATAGTAGAAACATAAGTTTTTCGCGCTGGTAAGCAAGGTACTGCCTTGTGCATGTGATTTTATTGCCTGATAGACTCTGTCTTTGACCAGCTACAATTATCTATTTGTTTGTCTCGCCAAACTCTCCTTGAGCGTCGCTTTCAAGTCACTTTGGACGGGTGCGGAGAGAGGTCCGTGTTGTGTTGCATTACTGTCATAGAGTGCCGCATTCAAGGCATAGGAGGTGTCGTATACAGAAGCACCTCCCGCGGCTTGTGATGTGCGGGCGGATGGGTAGTCCTGCGCTTGACTGCGGACCTGTGTGGGGGTAACAAGTAGTGAAAAGGAGAGTGCGATACCGGGTGTGCTTGTGTAGTTGGTATTCGGATGTATGGAACAGATAGAGAAGTCAGGCTACTAACTTTAAAGAAATCGGTATCATCGCTGGACTAACATTTCAGTATGAGTTGGCAATCCTAGTATGCTAGTTGCTAATTGTAAAAATCTGTGTCCATATCGAGTCACACGGAAATAGGTACGCAAGAAAACTTGTATGAGGATGCCGTGTTGAAAGACGGATGTTTAAGAATATCTACGAGTTACTTCCACACACAGGCGCAAACGCATACATACAAACGTCTTTATATAAACAAATACAAGTGATTATATGTATATGGACATGGAAAAGTATTTTTAAGGGTATCGAGACACATGCGTCCGTGTATACATCTAGTTGTGAGTGTATACGGAGACGAATACTCTCAGAGACGTACCTGGACAGAGCACAACTGCTGCCGTAGCTGATGAAGCCCTAAAAACCCAAAACCACGCACTTTTTGCTCGAGATATACAGTCCAAGGATTATCCATGGTGTACACCTCTCGTCTGACAATAGGCCGTACTCTTGCATGGGGTCCAAACTCACAAGGAACAGATTCAAAACGTACCAAATGTCGAGAGGCGTCCATATGAAACGACAAACGATCACACACATCACATCGCAATGGTTGGCTCACCTTTGTCTTAAGGAGCGCCGCCAGTTCGCTAATGTGGGCAGAACTTCGGGGTGGCTGCTGGTGTGTGGATATTCACGGTTTCAAGTGTAAGTGAAAACATTTAACGGTAAGGAATTCGACACACGAGTGTACGGACATGTACAACCCCACACGGAGCTCTACAGTCGATACACCGATTGATCGGAACTAAAATACGTATCTCGAGAAGTGACGAGTCCAGATGACATACTCCTTAAATCACTATCATATGCTCACAGATGACATACTCCTTAATCACTATCATATGCTCACGGATGACATACCCCTTAAATCACTATCATATATTCACAGATGCCTGTGATGATAGTACATTGGTTAGAACAGTTTGCTATCGATAACTTATGTGCTGGACAGATCAAATATATCAATCTCAATTGTTTGCGGAACTCGCCACACACACACACGCACATGCATACACATGCCACCGGCTAGGGTTTTAGGGGTTTTTTACACATATACACATGCGACTCTTTAAATTGTCCATTAGAGTAAGCAAAACGAGCTACTCTGTTTGAAGGAGCAACAATTCTCTTGGAAATTGATAGTATGAATTATTGTGCATTCAGGAAGATACAGACACCTTCGTACAAGATACTTTGAGAGACAAAACTGACACTGCGTCAACACGTGACATGGTGCCATTAGGATGGTGGCTTTTATACACAACACATTTAACACCCTCTGAACGACGCAGCGGAGATAAACCATCGACATTTCATGCGTGCTTGAACATGGAGAATAGACATGTCTGTAACGGTATCACATGCAGATGATTATATACCCTCGCACATGCTCGAAATATGGCACAAAGGGGCGGTACACATCAAGCACAAACACACCTCGACATCAGCCAGAGGCGTCGACCCATGGCCGAGAATATCCAAATTCATAGCTGAAGTGGTACGGTCCCTCGTGTGCGCGCCCGCCAATCCCACAATCGTCCCGGTATTAGCGAACTCCAGTGATGCGTGATGTGACTTCGTGGGCTGTGGCTCTTCCACTTGTGAGTTGAGCGGTGTGATGATGAGGCGATCGGAAGGGGCTGGTACACCCAATTCGTTCCTGAGTGTGTCAATGTGGGCGCGAATGTCCCGTCGGAAATAGTCCTGTGGAGACAGAAGAGGTGCAGGTGAGAGAGTTAGGGATGAGAGTGTTCATTTGTAGTGTGAGGATCTGGTGTCGAGTCTTTTGTAATATGACTTGCAGAACCATATATATATATATATATATATATATGTACATATACATACATACATACATACATACATACATACATACATACATACATACATACATACATACATACATACATACGTACACACATACATCATACGTACATACACATAAAACCTATTGATGTATTCTCTTCCCGTATAGTGTCCGTATTGAGTGAACTACGCGACAACATGCAGCACTATAGCACCAAGCGCTCTAAGGGAATATTCGGTAGTGCGTGGCAAAGTACCTACTCAGCTGTGCATAGCCTGTGAATGGTCTGTCTCTTGAGATCCATCTACAAGCTTCGGTACAAACAAGCCTGCAGCCAAACTCAACACCTGCACACCAACCTTAACAGCTGCATGCCAAAATCTAGAACTGCCTGACTAACACACGGTGCAACAATACCTGAAAGTGCTCCGATAGATGCGAAATATTCGTCTCCAAGACACTTTCTGCTTCCGGGTGTTCGATGAATATGTGTGCCATCTTCTTACCCGCCTTTAATGGTGGACAGGCCAATGAAACGTGGGAAAAGAGTGTAAAGAAGGCACAATCACACGGTCACACAACCAATCGAGCCAAATGACCTTCACAATCCAGGTAGGTCTCTGCAAAAATACATGGACGTCTGATACGAAAGGTGCTGAAATCCCTGCAAGTCCATAGCCCAACAAGACCCGTAAGGCTACATACAAATGGGAAACGCAACACCACATTGCTATGAAAACAGATGCACCACACATTCTGATAACAAAAACAGACACACCGCACGGCCCTGGATGCAACGATGCCGGTCTCATGCACGTGACAACAAACTCAGCCGACGCAACCAACCAACTAGAGTCCTGGACCGATCACACACACATAACTGAAAGCTCAAAAGACACCCAACACCACATGGAACGAAGTGAAGTCACACTGTGTAAAGCCATACCTCAAATAAGTCGCTGGGCAATTTGCTAGTGATCGCATGGACTTGGTCTGCAATCTCTTTACTGATTGCTGTGGTATGTAGAGAGATGTGTCATTGGTATGATTTCGTAAACGAAGGGCTTATGGTGAGAAGCCGTAGATGGTGCCGACAGCAAATGGGCATACCAACCACGTTGTACTATTGCACGGGTGAAGTACGAGTACAAGTGGTATGCCACTTCCTATGGCTGTGGCAGATATGCTTGAGTACAAGGGGTTATAGGTGTCTGTTCGAATAGGTGTACACTCGAATCTGTGCACGTACTGTGCTCGGGGGCATCTTTCTGACATGACATGACATGACATGACATGACATTTTGACTCAGCCCCTATATTCACAAGCAACGCATCTATAAGGAATTACACACATACATATACATACACACCCATACCCACACTCACACCCACATATATGTATATATATATACATACATATATATATATATANATACATACATACATATATATATATATATATATATATATATATATATACATATATATACATATATAAATATAAAAATTCCCAGTCCCCACGCGCGAAACGCATACAGTAGCACAGACACACCACTACTCACATCTTCCACGAGATCAGCACCACACACAGAGTAGGTGGATCACACGCGTACTAGCACTCAGGGCCACCAACCACAGACATCCACTCCCACACACCCTTCTGCTGCGGCTCCTGTGTCTGCACCTGCACTTCAGGTAGTGCGTGGATCTGCTGTGCACGTGGGTCTGTATGAGTCGTCGCATTGTCACGTGGTGGCTGTGACTGTGTCTGTCCTGGTAGAATGTCGTGCCCGTTTACCGGCCCACTCGGCCCCAAAGTTCGCGCCAAGAGGTGCGTCATATACACCGCCACAGGCGCGTTCTCGGCAAACCCTTCCACGTGTTTCTTGCTCGCCACTCCTTCGTGCTGCACCACCAGCGTCGCCAGCCGTTCAACCACGCGCAAGGGTTTGTCCTCTTCCGAATAGCGCCACAGGGCCCTGTCCTGCCAAGAATGGACAGGGAAGGCTGTGAGAAAGTAGTTCATAGCCGTGAATATGGGCGCCCACGCGATGGTCTGGGTGTCGTGCGCATCCAACATGCGGATGAGCTGGATGGCAAACGACGATAGCTTGTCCACTAGTTTGGAGTCGGCGTTGCGGGTGGTCTGGTTGAGGCTCCTGAGGTGGGAGGGGCAAAAGAGGACTGGTGGGGTGAGACATTGGGCAGGTGTAATAGTATACTAGTAAGGTTGCATGTGTGCATGTACTGGTGCGAGTAGAGGGTTTTGAGGAGTGGTGGCAATGAGTGGCGTATGTGTAAGTGTTCGTATGGGGAATGACCCAGAAGGTGGATATACGATCGCACGCAGGTACAGTCTGTTTTATACACACGCAAACGTTTACGTCCACCTCACACACACACATAGACACCCCTACACTCACACTTACTAAACGAACACACAGTCGCCATTACTTCCCATTCGGATATTCACAGGCTCGAAGCTAAATCCTATACCCCTAATGATGATATATACATATGCTGGTTTCTTTGCTATTTACACAGAGCTACAATCACACTATGCACACATTAACTAGACAATCTAAGCACAACTACGATGGCCAGAAACGACGCACATACACGCACACACACGCGCGCACTTACACGCACACGCACACACACGCGCGCACATACACGCACACACACACACACACGCGCACACACGCTTGTGCACCCACCCCATCAAACTCAGCAACATGACGCTGGGGGGATGGCCTCGGACAATAGTGGGCTGCAGGCTCTCCAAAGCCTTGGCGATCTCGCGCCTATCACGGTCGCTGTACGCTTCGCGGCTGTGCTTGTGCGTGGTCGTGGCCTCTATCACCGTCAAGAGGAGTGGCTCTACCACAACACTAGACACCTGGCGCATGCTGAGCTTGCAATCACTGTACAGTTGCTGGATGGCATGGACGGTGTGGCGACACAGACGTGCACTGACTGCGGGGTCGCTCAGCGCTGTGGCATTGGCACTGGCGGCGGTGTTGATGCGGCTCAGCTGAGGGAGGGGTGGGTGGTAGGTGGGGAGGAATGAGGGGGGTACTTAAGAAGAATGGAGGTGATTTTTATGGGGTGGAGAAACATGGGCATTTGTATTGCAGAAGAATGTGAAAATATTATATACATACATACATACACACACGCATACACACATACACAAATGTACATACAAACATACATAAATGCATACATATATATATACAAACATAGATATATATATATATACATACATACACACACACATATACACACACACATATATACATATGCGTATACGTATACATACACATATACATACATACAAACACACACACACACACATATATATATATACGCAGTTATACACATAGAAACACAAGCTACACCCAAACATAACCTACACATCGACACACGGTCACATACGTGCAACGAGCACGCCTGCAGCAGCTCTTCAAACTCAGGCACACCCCACCGCTCGGGGTGGTCCTTGAGTGAGCGTGCACACTCTTTGAGTGTCTTGACGGCCAGTGTGGGGCTCTCAGTTCCGACCGTTGCTAGGTAACTCAGCACGGCCACGTGTGTCTGCACGGGTGCAGGGGCGGCCACGTGCGGATCTGTCTTTATACCTGCACCTGCACCTGAATTTAGGGCCGAAATGCGTTGCGTGTCCGTATTCGTATGTGCGTAACCATAAGTGGTGGAAGTGTATGTGCTGTCTATAGCGGCTGATGCACCCGAGATTGTACTGTCGTATCCGAGGGCACTCTGTCCCAAATTCCGGACCGGGCTGAGGCTGTGCGAGTCTACGTCCATATCCTCGTACAGATCCTCGCCCAACCGCTGACGCCCCATCCCCAAACTGGCCGCAGAGACCGACCCGAACTTCGGGTCCGCTTGGTGCCGGGTAGGTAAAATGAACGATGAGTCATCGCTGCTCATGTACGTGGGAGCGAGGTCGGGGAAGTGGCCCTTGTGCGCCAGCGTGTCTTCGGGGCTGTCCCATTCTAGCGTCACCTTTTTGGCCACGCGGTCGGCCGGTGTGGGCGGCATGCGGATGGGCTTGCTCGCGTGCACGTGCACAAACGGCGACTCCTGCACACTCCTGTGCGGTGGCACGTGGGGGTGGCTGTGAGAGTCCGGGTGGTCGTATGCGTCTAGGTCGGGTTGTGGCTGGTTGTGGGTGGGTGCGTAGTTGCGGTAGGCCTTTGCACTCTGTGGGGTGGTGGCTTGTGGCTGGGTGTAGTATGGCGATCGCTCTGGTGAGATGGACATGCCCCGACTGCTCACACCCGGGCCACTGCGGAAACTTAAGCTCTCGCCACGTGTGGGTGTTGTGTTGCCATGGCGACCATCGAGGTCAGTGGCGCTGGAGGGGTCCGCATTCCTCTGTATTTGTCCATACCCACTGCTGCTAGCAGGGGCGCGACTTGGGGACCGCACGGGGATGCGACTGGGCGTGCCGTTGAAGCCCACCACTGTGCCGGCATCAGGGGCAGGGTGTCTTTTCAGCTTCTCTTGTAGGTAGGAGACACACCTGCAGGAACACACAAGCCACACAGCGAGGGGTGTAAGTGATGATGATGCATATAAACACACAAGCCACACAGCGTGGGGTGTAAGTGATGATGATGCATATGAGCACACAAGCCACACAGCGAGGGTGGTAAGTGA